TTTTTTTTTTTTTTTAATTACCAAGTCATGGATTTTATGGTAGAGCTCAAAATTAAAATACAAAGGATATCAGATTTTTAACCCTAGGATTCACAGTTTGAGGAAAGGCATATACAATATTCCAAACTTTCAGACCTGAGTCCTAAAAAGTAAAAGTCAGCCTGAAGCATTTATCAGCTTGATTCAATCATTATATTTTTTTAAAAAGTGTTTCACTAATGCTTGCTGAGGGCAATTGCACTGCACAGTTTCAAAGTACCAATTCTATACCAGTACTTAATGAGGGTTGAGGAAACTTTCCTTAATGAGACAAATCTACAAAGCATAATAAACTCACAAATTCAATATAATATGAGGGCATCATAAACAAACTTAGAAGAATAAATAGTAGTGATACCAGTTTTGAAAATCAGGATCAGGTCCTGTTTCCCAAGAGTTGAAGATTTAAACACCCAAGAAACACCTAGGCAAGTGCAGAAAAGAAGTTTTATCTGAAGAATAGAACACAGAGAGCAAGAGAAAGAGAGGCTCATCCAGAGAGAAGAGGATCCAAAGCTAGTGCCCAGGGAGTAGGGGTGTCTTACCCATTTTGTAATTTTCAGGTTTTCATTCTTCTCATGCCTTGTCCTCCCATTCACCTAAGAGGCCAAAAGGTAGGAAGGTACTCGAATAACTCCTTGCTGGGGAAAACAATTCCCTGGAGACAGGTGACCTTGGCAACCAGAGTGGAGGAGGGGGAAGTGTTCTGGAGGTATTAGCATTCTATTTCCTTTTGAACCAGGCCCCCTCTTCCTGACTCCAGTGATCATCTATCTACACTGATTGTCTGTTCTCATCTCACTAGATAAGAAAATATTTGCAAGTTATGAGTCAGGATAGAACCTTTGTCATTACCATCTTAATAGCTCATTGTTTAACACAGGGCATTTTGCTTTCCTTTCTTGCTAACAGAAGTACCCAGTCTTGGGGAACTAGGAGACCACAGAGTAATTACTTTGGTTCCTAGGAGTGGCTTTGTTTTCTATCAGTGACCACAAAGGTATCCTCTGTCACTCTTTGGTTGCTTTTTAATAATTGAAAGTTAGAATATTACTCAACATTAAAAGAGAATATAATCATGGCATTGTAGGTAAATGGATGGAGTTGGAGAATATAATGCTAAGTGAAGTTAGCCAATCCCCAAAAACCAAATGCCTAATGTATTCTCTGATATAAGGATGCTGATTAATAATGAGGATTGAGGGGAAGCATGGGAGGAATAGATGAACTTTAGATAGGGCAAAGGAGAGGGTGGGGAAGGGGGTTATGGGGATAGGAAAGACTGTGGAATGAGACAGACATCATTGCCCTAAGTACATACATGAAAACACAAAAGGCATGACCATTTTGTTTTTAACAAGACATTAAAAATTGTGCATGATTTATGTAATATGAATTGAATTGCTTTCTGCTGTCATGTGTGACTAATTACAATAAATAAAATTTAAAAATTTTTAAAAATTTTTGAAAGTTAAACTCTGAGTATTTCCCTTAGCCTCATTATCTCAGTAGAATTTGGATCATAGTAGCTGGGATTTTTGTCCCAGCCCTGGGTAGAGGTGACTGTAAGGTCCTTGCTTAGCATCTGGATGGCTATCTTAAGAAAAATTTCACTTTCCTGCCCGAGGGCCTTTCTGAGAAAGGGTCTCCACACCCTCAAACCAACCCAGCCCTTCACCACCCACATTCTTTCCTGCTCAAGGGCATATCACCACTCCCTCATACAAACCCTATCCTTAACTGCCCACAATAGGAGCCATCAGGCTCTGATTTCTGAGTCTCCCCAATAAAATTCTCTAACCTCAAGCCTGTGTTGCCTCTGGACGTCTATGGAGAGTTGGCCTTTACTGGTCAGAACTGGTTGAATGTCTACATTTGCAGACTCTCCTGTGTATCTCTGCCTGGTCTCCTTCTTTCATTTCTTCCTTGGCTGTCTCCTGGCTCCTCGCTTTCCTTTCAGTGACCCTCTCAGAAGTCCAGGTGTTTTGGCTAAAATGATTGGTTTGGACAAATAAAATTTCTCACTAGCACTTTTCCCCTAGTTCTAAAACAAAACAAAACAAAAAATTAAAAACAAACAAACAAACAAAAAAGAAGTCAACTTAAAATTCTTGATTCCATCGTGCCATACAGCATGACAAAAATGTCCTGCCTTAGAAGATGGTAAAGACAAATGCAAATAGAAGCAGGGGTATCAGATATGAGACATGGAGATTAAAAATATTACAACTCAGGAAGAAGCATCTGGGACCACATTTCTGAGTCTAGATTCAATCAGATTTGGTTTTGGGCTTTTTATCTAGATAAGCCAGTTAGTTAACTTCCTTTATTTATTTACTCATTTATTTTGGCTTGACATTATTTTAAATTGGATCCCCCATGGCAACTATATAGGTCTTTACTAAACTGTCTTCATTGTAAGGTCAGCACCATTAAAAGCAGCTGAAGGAAGCTTTATTGAGATTCATTCCCAGGTTGAGACACTCCAGTCCAACAGAGCAGGTCTAAAAGAATCGTACCCAGGCTCAGCTGGATTGAAATTGTATTGGGCTTAGGGCAGGAAGAGAAGGCTTAGGACAGGAAAGAGACGTTTTCAGAGTCCCTTGTCCTCCTGGAGTTGGTCAGGGGACCTTGCTGAGATCCATGTCCCTCCAGGATTGGTCAGGAGACCCCGCTGATTGACAGGTGGTTGTGCAATGCCTGATTGTTTGTTCTTTCCCACTCAGATTGCCTGGTGCTTTGTTCCCTTAGCCACCTCAAACCGACCTAACATTCTTCTGTTTTTATTATTCTTCTGTGATCTCTTCTTAACTGGACCTTCAAAGCCCGGTACAGACTTACACAGCCTGAATATGTTTGACAATGCAAAGTGATCAATTTAAAAGTGGTCAAAGGCTCTAAGGAGTCTATGGGCAACTTAAAAATAATAAGACAAAATGGTCTTTAAGAGGTCAATTATTCCTAAATACACATACGAATATATCACAGTGAAAATTTACCTTTATCCATATCTATAAAGCACTATTTTTCTTTAAGAAAATAATAAATAAATAGAAGGAAAACCAGTAGAGGAAAGGGAACAGGGGCAGAAAGGAAAGGAGGGAAAGAGGAAGCCCTGGGGTCTGAAGTAGACTAAATGTATTCCAGGATTGTTGTGTGATTGATGATGAACCTCAATAGTATAAGGTCCTAGCTTAGCATCTGGACTGTGACAATGACAGCCCTCTTTCTAAGAAAAATTTTGCTTTCCTGCGCAAGGGCCTTTCTGAGAAAGGCTCACCACTCCCTCATACCAATCTCACCCTTAACCACCCCCATTCAACCTGCGGGGGCTCTAATCCCTGAGCCTGCCCCATAAAAGTTGCGAACCCCAAGCCTGTTTTGCTTCTCTCCATCTACGGAGAGATGTGCCGTTATTTTTCAGCTCTGACAAACTCTCATGTGTATCTCTGCCTGGTCTACATCTTTCATTTCTCGCTTGCCTGTCTCTTGGTTCCTCACTTTTCCTCTAAAATAGTATATATATATAACTATGATGCACTAACGAAAAATGAAAAAAAAAAAGACTGATTATTTAACTTCTTCAGTCCAATATTTCAAGGACTTTGAAATGTGTAAAAATCAGGGTTTTAGCAAATACTGTCTCTTGTTATGGTTCAACATGCTTATGTGTACATAATGAGTTGTAAAGAATTGGCTCTCTATTATTTATTTAGGGTAGAGAGAGAAAGAGAAGGGAAGGGAAAGAAAGGGATGAGAACCCAAACTGGTTGAATGTCTAAATTTGCAGACTAATATAATTTCCTTCTATTTTCTATACAACATGAGTTATAGCCTATTTGCAATGCCAGCTCTACTAAAAGTAGAAAGCATCACAGAAGTATAACGGGAAACTTCCAGACCAGCTGAATGTTAACATACTATTTGGTATGTCTCATTTAATTCTCATTATTATTTGACAGTGAAGGCACTAAACTCATTTATGTGCATTTTGTAGAATTGTTGGTTTAGTTGTAAATGTTAAAACTACTCTAAGGACAGAATACTGTGCAAAACAAGTGTTTCTTAAGTCCTTGAATCTAGTGGAATTTTCCCTGTTGGGTTCCAGGTTTTCTTTGGACCTCTAGTGCATTTCTTCTTTCAGGCTCCTCCTTTACAGATGGGGATGTCTATCCCTGTCCTGTGCCACTATTGTACTTTGGAAGCAGATAACGTGTCTCACTTCACAGGTACACATAACTCAAGAGCAGTTTGGGCACAGAATGAATCATGTCTTGAGTCTTAAGTCATATCTGACTTAGATGAAACTTTGAATTTAGAATCAATGATAAGTGAGTTCGGTCTTTTAGGGTGGGTGGAAAAAATATATATATACATATATTTGCATGAGGATATAAATTTGAAAGCCCAATAGTAGTTTGAATTATGTCTTTCCAAAATTCACATGTTGAAGTTTTAATTCCCAGAAGTCAAAATTAGACAGGCAAGGGCTGATCCAGAGAATGAAGGAATTGAAATGTTAATTCCTTCAGAATCCTTCCTCCACCCTTAACAAGATCCTGCCCCTGCTCCCACCTGTAGCTAAAGTAATCTCTCCTAGAATTGTCCTTCTCTATAGGGAATTGTAAAAGTTCGTAATTAATTCGTCCTGCATCCCCTTCCTGCCTGGATTAGTCCTCCCTGGTCCCTCCAGCTCGCCTGTTTTCCACCTTTTGGCCATCCCACCCAAGCATTTTCTGGGCCTAGTCATGTATTCAGGAAAGAGAGAGATGGGGGGAAGGAAGAAGGAGAACCAAGGAAGCCAGGGCATATGAAAAGGCACAACCCGTTCACTTCTGGGGATACCAGGATATTAGTTATGGCCCTCTTCTCCCGCCATGAAGAAATCTATGTTATCCCTTTTTACATAAACCCTGCTTTATATGCTTGCCTTGGCGTGCTTCTCTAATATTATACTTCAACATGTGAGGAAGCAGAATTCATCACCAGTAACCCACAGTATCATAACCATGTTGGAGATAGAATTTTGTTGTTGTTGTTTTTAAATACCAGGGATTGAGCCTACAGGGGTACTTTCCAACTGAGCTATATCTCAGTCCTTTTTTTTTTAATAATTTATCTAGAGACAGGGTCTCACTAATTTGCTCTGGTGCTCAGGGTCTTGCTAAATTTCTGAGGCTGGCTTTGAACTGGTGATCCTGCTGCCTCAGCCTCCTGAGCACTGGGATTCCAGGCATGCACCACCAAGCCCAGCTGGAGATGGGTTGTTTACAGACATAATTAAATGAAAATGAGTTCATCAAGGTAGGCTGTAATTCAATATGATGAGTACCCCTAGAAGAGTAGGAAAATTGGAGGTAGACAAGTAAGAGGCAAGGCCATGTAAAGACAGAGGAATCATATGGCCACCACAAGACCTGGGCCAGACCCTTCATCCTCACCACACAGAAGGAACCCACTCTTGCCAACACTGTGATTCAGACTTTAGTTTCCAGAACTCTGAGGAAATAATTTTTTGTTGTTGTTCTTTAAGCCATTCAGTGGCTATCTGAAATATCCCTAACCAACTTAAATAGATCTGTGCTGTTTTTTATTTTTTTAAAAATTAAAGAACAAAATCAGTATATTCAAGGAACAATGCAGATAGTTAGG